ATAAATGTCTGGAGTGTGGAAAGAGCTTCAGTCAGAGGGGATACCTTTATACACATCACAGGATTCACACAGGAGAGAAACCATTTAAATGCCTGGAGTGTGGAAAGAGTTTCAGTGTGAGGGGAAGCCTTTATACACATCAAAGGATCCATTCAGGAGAGAAACCGCATAAATGCCTGGAGTGTGGAAAGAGCTTCAGTCAGAGCGGAAGCCTTTGTGCACATCAAAGGATCCATTCAGGAGAGAAATCGTATGGATGCCCTGAGTGTGGAAAGAGCTTCAATCGGAGGGGATACCTTTATAAACATCAAAGGATCCACTCAAGAGAAGAACAGTATAAATGTCTGGAGTGTGGAAAGAGCTTCAGTCAGAGGGGAGACCTTTATATACATGAAAGAATTCACCCTGGAAAAAAACCATATGAATGCGTGGTGTGTGGAAAGAGCTTCAGTCAGAGGGGAAGCCTTTATGTACATCAAAGAATCCACTCAGGAGAGAAACCACATAAATGCCTGGAGTGTGGAAAGAGCTTCAATCGGAGCGGACACCTTTCTGCACATCAAAGAATCCACTCAGGAGAGAAACCACATAAATGCCTGGAGTGTGGAAAGACCTTCAGTCAGGGGGGAAACCTTTATAGACATCAAAGAATCCACACAAGCGGAGAAACCCTATAAATGCCAATTTAGCTTGGAACCATTGCAGTTACCTTTTAAAAAAAATAACGGCTGCTAGCCAGCTCAAGCATCTTCAGCTAGCAGCTCGGCACTTGTTTGGCCATGTGGACAGACATCAAAGACTCCATTCAGGAGAGAAACCATATAAATGCCTGGAGCGTGGAAAGAGTTTCTGTGGGAAGGGAAGTCTTTGTCAGCATTAATCCACTCGGGAGAAAAACAATACAAATACCTTGAGTTTGGAAAGAGCTTTATGGTTTGTGGACACCTCTATCGACATCAAAGAATTCACATGGGGGAAAAATGTTAAATATGCCCGAGTGTGGAAAAACCTTCAGTCACAACGGACTGACTTTACAGCGCACTCTGGGAGATTTCCAAGATAAACATTATTTGCATATTGCCACCAACAATCTGGGTACTCCTTCTACCATCCTCAGAAGGATGAATGGCTGAGTCAAGGCTTGAGCGCTGTCAGAATCAAACTCCAGGCTGTGGACAGTCTGCCTGCAATACTGCACTAAGAAGCTACTCGAATTTTTATCACAGACCTAAGTACAGCTCAGTAAGACAGGTGCGAACTATTACCCTTCATTGTCATCTCAACCTTTGTGTGTCAACATGAGTATATATTGTATTCTCAGCCCAAACATTCAGGAATAAGTAAACCTATTCACCGCGCCATTTTATTATTCCCTTTATTGGTACACTCGGTTTAATGATTGTGCTATTCTGTGATGCCAAATATTGGAATTTGAATAATTTTACACACTTTTTCAAGGGGTGTGTAATCTTTCGAGCACAAGTGTATTCAACTCTGCAAACTCAGAATTTCATCCGAGTGGTGAGTGGAATAATGTGGCTGTAAAACAGGTAGGCNCTGACCCAACCCTGTGTACCGCCCGTGTGATGTTTTTTGCAGTTATCCTTCCTGACAGCTTGACTGCCTCTACTCCCCAGTCCCAGCACTCAGGGATGGGACACCTAAGCGGGCAGAGGGGCTGCAACAGATCCCAGGAACCGACTCAGAGCTCTCTCTGCCCGGAGGAACGCAGTGCTAGGAACACCTAAGATCCTGCGCAGAAACTTCAATCTCTCCGGCCTGCGATGGAAGAGTCAAGATTGAGGAAGAGACACACATCCCAACCTCAGGACGTGGATGGATTCTTCACTCAAAGAAGCCCCTAAAGGGGGAGCAACATTAGATGTTATAGGGCACCCCAAATCTACCCTAGTCCAAAGCACCCCAAGAGGCTGGGAAAGGTGGCCCTTAAGGCCAGTTTAGGGCACCGTTTCTTCTCGTTCATGCTCCCCACTTTCCTCCTTCCTCTTTGGCAGGGCAGAACAGGAGAGAAAAAAACCCAAGGAAAACATGTGGGAAAAGCATTATTTGAATACAAATGTTTAAAGTCAAAGAACACATATAATTGCATATCCTCCTTTTTCCCCACATGCACGAAGAGCTTCCGGTGTGAATGCAGAGCGAGTGAAGGGTGAAGGGAGGGGCAGAAGCTCTGAAGAGCCAAACCCAAAGAAAGGCAGGATCGTCCATGAGATGACAGAGTGGAATGGGCCTTATAGAATATTATGATTATTATTAATATTAATAATAATAAATAATAATTATTATTATTAATAGTAGTAGTAGTAGTAGTAGTAATAGAGTTGGAAGGGACCTTGGAGGTCATCAAGTCCAACCCCCTGCTCAGGCAGGAAACCATATACCATTTCAGACAAATGGCTGTCCAGTCTCTTCTTAAAAACTTCCAGTGTTGGAGCATTCACTACTTCTGGAGGCAGGTTGTTCCACTGGTTAATTGTTCTCACTGTCCTTAGTTCTAGGTTGCTTCTCTCCTTGATTAGTTTCCATCCATTGCTTCTTGTCCTGCCTTCAGGTGCCTTGGAAAATAGCTTGACTCCCTCTACTTTGGGGCAGCCCGAGATATTGGTCATCATCATCATCATCATCATCTTCATCATCATCTACAGACACAGAGAGATGAACCACATTTCTACACCATTCAAAAGACACAATAAAAAGCAAAGAAGGGAATAAAAAGAGGATTTACATCCTCTCCAAAACTCAGATAAGCAAAGATTAACTCCAGACAATCAAGCAGAAATTATCCTAATTGAGGAACTACCAAGGAGAAAAATAACTCCCCTCCCACAATGGCAGGGCAAGCTACAGTAGCGTAGCGTAGCGTAGCATAGCATATAGTAGAGGAGAGTAGTATAGACTTGGAAGGGACCTTGGAGGCCATCTAGTCCAACCCCCTGTTCAGAAAGGAGACCCTATACCATTTCAGACAAATGGCTGTCCAGTCTCTTCTTTACAACCTCCCGTGTTGGAGCATTCACGGCTTCTGGAGGCAGGTAGTTCCACCGGTTAACAGTTCTCCCTGTCAGGAGATTCCTCCTTCCT